TTCTCAAGTGTAAACTAAAATCTGATCTAGGTAGTCTTGTAAAAATGGGAGATATTTCAAGGCAGCTTGAAAACGGTCTCTGAAACTCTAAAGTTCACGATTTAAATTTTCTATGCTTCAATCTCTTGTCCCTGGCACTTGTAGAAACAGTAAGTTTTATGATTTATATTTTACTGGATTAGCTCAAACACTTTACTCTGGAAGTCCTATGTGTCTTTATATACATTAAGAAAGTATTTTCTTTCTTACACATAATGTGCAGATTCTCTCCAAACTCCTCTACAATTTAGTAGCTGTGTATGAACTGTACTTCTTCACAACCCTTAAAGGAATTTTATCCTTCTTTCTCCACAGCTCCCCTGCCTGAATCCTTTACAGCCTCCATCTGTTCCCCCTAAAATTAGTCCCCTATTAATCCAAGTTTGTCATACTTGGATTTGAGTTCAAGATTCAGTACTTTTATGGGAGAGGGTAGCTGGCAGAATTTGGACTCTCCAAATGAAAATGAAACTTTATTTAAGTATCTACAGTAACAGCAGAGGGAATATGTATTATTATTTTGGTAACTGTATGTTTTTCCCACCTTGCTACAGATTTTAGTTAAAGATTAAAATTCAGTTTAGTCTTTTAGATTTTTTTTTCTGTAAATTACATCACTACTGATTGAAATTGAAGACTGAAATCTTGCTTGAAAAACAAACACTTACCAACCACAGCACATTTATATGTCATGAGAGATGCTAAGGCTTTCACTTCATCCACACTGACATCCATACTATAACGAATACCTGCAAAAGACACATGAGAAAAAATAGGAATTCACTGAGCAACTTCACAGGTATTTAAAAATCTGGGAAGGATAATTCTACATCGACCATCTATAACATGCAAGTATGTAATTTATCAACTTACTTGCTTTAAGATTTGGAGACCAAGTCCCTGTTATCTTACTTAAATATCTATCTTTTACTCAGCAGAAATGCAGGATTCCAGTAATTCCCTATTGAGTAGCTTAACAGCAGCATTTAGTCTTTGGGAAAAACATGAATATTCCTAGTGAGGAAGACAAGTCAAGCTGACAGGTAACTAGGACTAGAGTTTTCAAGAGGCTGATAAAGCTCTTCAGCATTCCATAAGATCTTTAGCTGTGGGCTTCATTCATTGTATATACAAGATGAACTTTGTTCCTGAACATCAGCACAGGTTACAATCAAGGTTTTTTTGCTGGAGTAATACAAGCTCCTGTTATAAGGCTTGGTTTCAAGGCTCTGGCTGCTAGACACAGCCATGTAACAAAAAGCAACAAATCACTGCTAATTCATTTTTTTTCAAAACATTTTGAGATAACTCCAGCCCACCAAGCTTGTGTGACCAGGCCATCCATCCCACACCCACATGGAAGCCAGCCCACACCTGCATTCCCTGCTCCATGTCATTCAGCAGAGCTGCAAGTGTGTGCTGACACATGGTGCCAAGTGTAAATTCAAATTGTTGTGGGCTGATAGCAGCTCAGATGCAAAACGGGTGATCCCAGCACTCAAGAAAATTTAAAACTGAGAGGAAAAACACAAAGGCAAGGAGATCTTTCACCTGCCCAACTCTTGGGTTGTAGTTGTCCAATAAATTGATTGAACTCAGTTAAAATTCATGTATTCTGAAGGTAGTTGCAGAGTAGAAAATACTTAACCCAACTGACCAGACACATAGACAGAACTCCAGAAGCCTAAACATGATGTTTAAGATCAACACAGTGCCCAAAGTCATGTGGCCACAGCAAAAAAGCCCCTACAGCTGTATGTTTGTTTCTATTCCAGCTTTTCCTACATAACTAAGCATGTAACAGAGCCATGAATAATTTATTATCTCCATCTCTACTCCCCAAATCCTTGGCTGTAGGTTGTGCCAAGCTGCACGGTGGTTTGTAGTGGGCACAGAGTGTCCTTTAGATGGCACCACAAATTTCCTATTATGTAAAGAGAAGACTATATTCAGGTCCTTAGGAGTGAAAAAAGGCCAGCATACATTATCTAAACTAAAGTGCTGCTATGAAAGCCATTCCTGAATGCTCTGGAAACAATCCCAGTTTCAAAGGAACTAAGCACTGCTCAAATAAAGCTGAGGGCCAAGTGCTGCTTTCTTATGTGAGTTCAATCACTAAAAGAAAGTACCATGCCTCTGCAGAACAGAATTTAAATTTGTTGTGTATATGGGGGAAGGGTGCTCTCCAAAAGCAAAACTGCCTAACTTGGGTAGCTGCAAGGTGTTCATGTCTGGGCTTTCAATCACCACCTCACAGGAAGTAATATTCAAAATTTAAGTGGAATCTATCAGAGCCCTACAGACCAGTCAAAGTTACAACATACGTGGGTTTTTTTTAACATGTCTTACTCTGATCCTTCAGAGGAGCAGTTATCCTTCTGTCAAGCTCCAAGCAAGGACACCACCACCTACAGCACTGACTGTCCTGCCTGAGGAAATCATTCCCTCTTGGTTGAGCAGGTACTCTGGCCACAGGTCTCATTAGAGTATTGCTCAAGCCAGCCAAGTTTGAAGTCATGGTCTGTGCTGGCCAGAAATGAACTCTGCCCCTCCACCCCCAGCTGAACTAGATCACTGTGTATTTATTCAACCCATATACTTATTTAAATTTCCAAGGTGTGTATACAAAGCAGTTTCGCTATAAATGTACTCCTGCAGGCACGCAAAATGTTGTTTATTGATATATGGAAAGTAGCAGGGAAACTAAATAGTTAGGGATAGTCATCTTGTATAGTTCAAAGAGAGAAGAAAATTAAAAAAGGAGAGGGAAGCCTCTTCTGCACATCATATGGAAGATAGCATCTGAAGAGGTAAACAAGCAGCAGTTTAACCAGAACACTCAAACACATGTAAACAGTTAGATCTCTGGTTTCCTTTTATTACAGTCAAGGATTACTAATAACTTTAATGTAATAAATGTAACTTTCATACCAAGGGAGATAGGGAAAAAGCCCCAGGACTAACTAAGTACTGATAGGCTTTTAACTGAGCTGCCTATTTGTCAGCCACACCAGAATAAGGCAAACTTTTATACTTGAGGCTGAAACTGTCCTTTTCTGGACAACTTGACATTTCTGAGCAAGATTTAACTTCTTTTCCAGGTTTTTAAACAGTTGTAATTGAAGTGGCTTGACTGGTGCCTTTATCTTGGTAAGTGGGAGACTAGTCAATTCTGAGAGTTGTGCTGACTTCACTGGTTACTCTTCTCTAGTTTATTTGGTAGAATTGTTCACTACAGTGTCAGAAGTTCATGGTGTAGATCCCAGGTCCCCAACAGGCTGATGAGTTTTTCCCTTAGGTGGCAGGAGCACAGAACGCTTCAGATGCACTCACATTCAGCCATTTACTGTTTTCCAGGAATTGTAATTACTCTACAGGAGGCCCACCTCTTGACAGGGAAGTTATTTGTGCTAAGCTGTTAAGACTGATGAGAAGCAGGCATCTGAGAATGCTGTACATTCCATCTGCAAGCGGATGCACAAAGATAAAAGACTTACTTAATTTCTATTCTATTTCGACATCATTGAAATTTAGTTTGACAGCTTCCTAATTTGGCAAGAGGAGAGTATTGCCATGCATTTTTATGGCTCTTTTGGCAGTGTTACTATGCATTCAATAGCCTGAGTCTAAAAATGGACAATATACAGAGACAAAATACTGAGTTTGGTTTTTTTTAAGGTTCTTACTACATAAAAGCAAATGAAAGTTACTGTTATGCAGCAAGATAATTTTTTTAAACCCTGGCAAGTCCCACACAGTAAGCCTCGGGAAACTTGTGGCTTTTACAGCAAACTAGCTACAGAAAAAATAGTTTGAAGAAAGCCTCAAGTTACAATATGACTCACTGCCATGGAAAATACTTTTCACTGGAAAACATACAAATTCTTGTTCTAGTTGAGAATTCTCTTTCCTTGCCACACCCCAAGAAGTTAAACAGCATGCTAAGAGAGACTTTGTTTTTCTATGTACAAAAGTTTCTAGATGAGGAAATGTTTTCATTTTAATTTTGCTTTAGTATTGGTCAGTCTAAAGAGAAGGATTTATTATCACATTGTTGTGCTTATACTTTTTAAACTTCTTTTGGAAGATACTATACTTCACTCAGTTACCTCTTGCACTGAGCCCAATAATTGTTTCCTCATGATTCTTAGATAATGCTACGGATTAATTTTCACTTTTCCAAATGGAGGTAGAAAGCACTTGAAAGACAGTGTTCTTTTTAAATATATGTGAAAGTAGTAATTATCAGTAAGACTGTATTTTGGATTCTATAATAACAGCAGTCGGTTATCATTTGGATCAGCAGGTTTATAGTAAGGATTTTACCAACATCCACATAACAAAGACCTTGATTTCCAAGAAAACTGGTTACACATCCTACTACATTTTACATTGTACAGATTTCAGTGTGTTCTGTGATGTTCAGTGTGATTATTATGCTTTCTTAGAAAACCTGATGTACAGAACTACCAACCTTTTAAGGATGACTACTGCCTTTTTAGTATGCCTACAAATCTACATTTAGGGAAGTTAGTTCGCTATTTCCTGATCTTCTAGTGCAGTGATCTTAAATGGTAGTACCTACGTATGCCCTGACCACTAATGAGCATGAAGTATTCAAAGTCTCAAAACTAAAGAGTTGCCATAGTAACAGTTCAGAGCAAAACCCTTGGTAAACTACTCCTCCTGCACTAAATTATCTTGCAAATCTTAGCAAGTCTCTCAAGTCCCCCAGAACCTTGAACACATTTGCACCTCAGCCGAAATTATTAATATCTAACCAGGGTTTCGTCCTGCTTTGACTTCAGTGTTTTCTTCTAGCTGTGATGATCTTGTGAACTTTGGAACTAACTTGGGTCCTTTACAGATGACAATTCTTGTTAGGATGGTGCATTTGTTCAGCTCATGTTTATTTGCAAAGGGCTTGCTCATCAAAAGCAGCCCTCCAGAGCAGCAGCTATCCTACACCACCCATACAGCACTCAGCAAAACAGATTTCATGATCTCCTTCGAAAGTTTTTAGGACTGATTAAAGCCATATTAATCTCCCAATTAGTAAAACTGGATTCTGTGGTGGCTCTGTGCATTAACAGCTTGCCTGACCCTGTCCAAAGGCTGCAGTGTAAGTCTGGAGCACAAGGAGCTTCAGTAAAGATGCTCGCCTCGTTCAAACTACTTCACAAAATCCACAAATCAGTCCCAGCATTTACTGCAGTGCCTTAGTTACTTAATGTTTTACCACTGGATTATGTATAACATTTTCATGTTTGGTAAGTAAACAAGTGCAATTGTGGTTGTACTGCTATCAAACTCTAAGTAATCACTGATACCTAACTCAGTAGGAACAGATCTTCCAAGCAATCCTTAGACTCTTTCAGAACAAGCACATTTTTCTAGATTCAGAAGAACAATCCAGCCTTCCCTAGAAGAAAACTGCTTAACCTTATTTAACCATTTAGAAATTGTGGTACACAGCACAGTGACAAATTTGTCATTATTGAAGACAAATAAATTCTAGATATCTCTAACAAAGCAAGATGAGTAATTCAGTGCTGGACAACAGGAACACTGTACACCAATCAGCAACAAGAACTACTAATTCCTAAATTCAATTCACTAACTGCCAAGAGAGGAGATAAAAACATTTATCTCTTCCCACACAGCACTAGCCAGCTATAACTGGGGGCAGGAAAGAGATTCCCCCATGGAGACACTCCACCATTCTGATTTAAGCAGCAGTATGTATAAA